ACCAATCCATTAGACAAACACTACCACTTTGAAAAATATCAATACCATTGCAGAAATAAATCTATACCATTACACGAAAACTACCATTGCATAAATAAATTTATACCATTACACGAAAACTACCATTCAAGAAATAAAAACACTACCATTTCACAAAACATCAATACCATTCAAGAAATAAAAACACTACCATTTCACAAAACATCAATACCATTGCAGATTTAATCACTACCAATGTGACAAAATCAATACCAATGTAACAAAATCAATACCAATGCGACAAAATCAATACCAATGCGACAAAAATAATACCAATACGACAAAAACTATACCAATACGACTATAACACTACCACTACGGAAAAAAATGACTACCATTTAAAAAAAATGACTACTGAAAAAAAAATGACTACCATTTAAAAAAAAATATACCATTCCAATGGAATTCCTCCTTCCAATTGGAGAGACGACGGCGGCGGTTGGTATTATTTTTGACGTTGACGGGATCATCTCTCACCACATCTACAAAGAGCCCCAACCCAGAACATTTAGCAAATTGAACAAGGCCAAAACATCAAAAATTCAAAATCACCACTTCAACAGGCTTAAAAGCGAAGAACTTTGACGTTGCCGTCTTCTCCTCACGAGGAAACTACCGGGATTTCGTCGCGCTCCCGTCGTGGCGCCGCCGCCTCTCCGATTCCGACATTACCAAACTCTGTGACCGGCTCGCCGCTGCCGGAGCCTTCCCAGCCCTCATTACGGCCCCGCCGCCGTTCTCCTTGCTTTCTCTGAAGCTCAGCTGTTTACTAATCTCGTTGTCGGGGAGATTGATTGAGACCCTCAATTTCGACCTAGGGATGCCATCGGGGGGAGGGAGAGGGGAGGGAGGGACGCCATCGGGGGGAGGGAGGTCCGATTGGGGTGGTCGGAGGGAGGAGGGAGAAGGGAGAAGACGGCGGCGGTTGTGGGGTTGTATTAGGGTTTGAGTATAATATATAGAGTAATCAGGTGTGGTACATTTTTCATTTCCTAAATTACCCTTATCTGATCTTAATCGTTAATTTAAAAATATAATAAAATAAAGATAATGAATGGTATAGATGTTGGTAGCCACCATGATTACTCAAAATTGAGTAACCACCCTAACCTATCCCGGAGAATGGGACGCCTGATTCCTAGACGGCGGGAAGAGATGGGGCATGCAACGGGACGCCAGGAAAATTCCTTGTCGGGGAAGAGTTTTAAAATTAATTAAAAATTAAAAAAGGCTATAATTACTACATTATCCATCATTAACTTAGGTTAATTGGAACCATTAGATATTAATAGGGTAAATGCCATATTTGGTCACTAAGATTACTAAATCGTGTCATGTTTAGTCACTAGAAAAATTTAATATTAATTTTGCTCACTCGAATTACTGAAACATGTCACATTTAGCCACTATCCCGTTAGCCTCCGTCCAACTCCAGTCACTCGAATTACTAAAACACGTCACATTTAGTCACTCGAATTACTGAAACATGTCACATTTAGTCACTCTCCCATTAGTTTCCGTCCAACTCCATTAATGAAGTGGGACAGAAACTAACGAGAGAGTGACTAAATGTGACCTGTTCCAGTAATTCTAGTGACCAAAATTGATATTAAATTTTTCTAGTGACTAAACATGACACGATTTAGTAATCTCAGTGACCAAATGTGGTATTTACCCGATATTAATAAGGTTGAAGTGATGAGATTCACTTAGCCATGTGACTAAGGAGACTCCTTTAGTCACCTGATCTCAGCTCACGACGCACAAGAGCACTACCTAAAATTAGTGATGTGGTGCACCCACCCAATCTCATCCCGCAACATGGCCACTAATTATTATTCATCCAAAATTAAAACAAAATAATTCTATTTCCTTTCTGGGTACGGTCCAGCCTATGCGTTGACCCTGTTTGGCATAATTAATTAAATAAACTCACCATGTAAATATTAACAACTGAATGTTAAACATTAAGAAATAATATTTCGACTGAAAAGGCATTCACCGTCATAATTAGTAAATATTTCGTTCAATATGCATATATATAAATGTACGTACTATATCGTTTAAAAAATTTCATCTTCGTATTATTGTCGAATTATTTCATTTATCCCGTACATTAGAAATAAAGTAAAATACTCGTATGTACTAATTAAGTAAGTATCGTATTAAAACACTCTTCAGGTTTGTCGCGTTGCAAGGTTCAGACCACCAGGACTAACCGCTTGATTAGCCGCCCAACATGTAACTAATTAAGTAAGGATCGTATTATACTAAAGCAGCGAAAAATTCAAACATGTACGTCGTGCCTAGCTTAGCTGGCTACGATGCTTCACCAGCTAATTCTTCCCAGTCAACGTCGGAGCTCTCTGCTCCATCGGCATTATATATATACATGCATGGAAGCCTTCGTTCATAATTAAGCCAGCAAAAAATTATCAACCAAAAGACAAAAAGTCCACGGTAGAAAAAGGGGGAAAAACAAGAGATCGAAGCAGCAAAATATATCCATAATGGCAGCAGCTGCTAATCATCGTCGTCAAAGCAGAAGAAGAAGTACTTCTCCTGGTATACGCACCATCGTTCCCTTGCTTCTGGTCGTCATCGTCTTGTTATCGTCGGCTGATGATAGTAAGATGGTGTTGGTGGCAGCAGCCAGACGAGTTCCCGCCGCCGCGCCGGGAAAGAGCACCGCTGCTGATAATAAGGAGGAGTACGAGGGGATAGTTGCGGTGAGCAAGCGGTCTGCTAGGGGAAGTTCATCAAGAAGCAGCGGACACGGCGGTCCTCGTCCCTGGCACTAATTCAAACGCATCATAGATGAGATTATCGGAAGTTGTTCATATTTACCTCGATCCTTCCATGAACTGTTGTGAATTCTTCGTCCAAATCATGCAAACTCTCTTTGTTTATAATTATATGATGTCACTTGCTTTAAGAAAAAAATAAATAAAGTATGGTGTTCTTTTTTATTATTCGTATATTTCAAAAGTTGTGACTATGAAAGTGTATTTTGTTTTCAAATTATCATATGTAATGGATTAAATGAAGTGGATCAACCTTCAACTTATTTCTCTACTTGATGAATGTATAAATCAACCAAGTTATTAACCGAATCTTCTATTGTAATATAATATCCAATTGACGGTAAATTTGTCTCTCAATCTTGCTAATCAAAACCAAACCAATACCTACAAAATGTAGTTGTAATTATGGTTTAAATAGGGGTGGACAATGGGTGAGTTGGGTGGTCTCAAATTGACACACCCGCTTATTAACGAGTTGATACAATTTTGACTCGCTATGACTCACATTCTTCTTCAAATTGGTGGATGGGTGGTGGCTGAATGAGATTGAGTTGTGGGTTAACCTAATATTTATGAGAAATTCCTCACAAATTAAGAAGACACTAGCAATTTAGATACTTCTCATTTTGTATCCTGTGGATCCGTATAATACTTGTGACATGTCAAATTTTTTATTATCACTCATATCAATTTTTCGGATGACCACTTTCAATAAAATATTCGTTGGCATAAAAAACAAAGTCACTGACCACATATTCTTATAAAGAAAAGGCTCTTTACATGTGCATATTTCAATTGTTTCGCAGAGTACGTTATCAAAGTTTTCAATAATCCATCACGTAATTGAGTAAAGAAAATTGACGATCTTTATGAATTTGACACCATTAGTAGTTTATAACTTGCATACCAATATCAAATTGATATTACATAACGTAATAATCAATAGTAATAGCTCACAATATATCTTTTCTTTATTTACTACCATTAAAAGTCGATGGTAAGTGTGTGATGTGGTTATGAAATATGATGGTTATTCGATAGTATAAACAAGAAACAATTCCTTATTATGTGAAAGTGAGATGTGAGTCATTTGTGTGACTCGCAAATCATAACCCATCCATCACTCACTCGCTCGAATAAGTCCGTGCAGAAATATTTTTATCGTTTAATTTACTTTGTAGTGAAAGGGCTATGAGTTATGACTTATGAATTGGAGATAATTCGACTTGCTAAAATTATAAAAAAAAAAGATGGTTCAGGATAGGGCTCATAACCCTTGGTTATACACTCTTTCATAACTAAATCAGCTGGAACTTTGAATTTAAGTGGGTTAAGAAAATTCAGATTTAAAGGTTGAAAATTAATGACTTTTTATTTTCTCTAATTTCTTAATAGACTCTTATCTTCTTCGTTCTAACTTGGATATTTATTTTTTTGCACAGATGGAACGAGTTTTTTGTGCTCTACAAAATGAAATCCATTTTCAATATTTTTTGAGAAAAAAATTTCATGGCTCTCATTACCAAAATGGTATCTCCTTCGTTTTTAAGTCGTTTTTGAAAATATTTGCACATAAGGAACGAGTTCACCATGATCTATTGGATCTACAAATTTCTGGGGGGGAATACAGTAGGGGTGGGCATCCGGTTCGATAAACTCGAACCGAAACCGATCTCGACCGAACTGAAACCGAATCATTCTATTCTGTTCGAAATTCGGAAAGGAAATGTTGATAGTTCGGAAACCAAAGTTCTTTCAACCGAACCGAGATTCCGAACTCTCGACCGAAAAACCGAAATAAATAAACATAAGCCCAAAACTCATCCATGTTTCCGTTTCCCCCAATTCCCTAAGCCCAAATGAAACCCCACTAACTCCATAGCCCAAATGAAACCTTATCTAACTAAGCCCAATCAAAACCCTAACACACTAAGCCCCCACATACAACCCTATCCCCTCTACCTCTCCCCTGCCTCTCGATTCTCAGCTCTCTGAATTGCCGCCGCCGCCAGCCAAGTGCCAACCAACCTCCAACCAAAACACGCTTCTCATCTCGTGCCTTCAACCTCCAACTTGCCTCCCCTTCAATCCCATCGCGCCGTCGACTTCGCTTCACCGCCTCTCGCTCCCATCAAATCCGGCGGTGGCTTGAGCGGCGGAGGGACTACCGTCGACGCGACCGCCCTGCCTCTCTATTCCTCTCAGTTTTCAATCTCTCGAGTCTCGAAGCTTTCTTTTCCTCCTGGATCAAATCAGAGACGAAGTTACTGAATCTAGATAGAGAAAATCAAGCCAAAATAAGCATGCATGCTTGGATCTAAACCCTACTAACCTCTAACATTCGTTGTCGCCATCACTGGGTTCTTCTCTCCGTGACTTCGTCAATCTCCATCGCCGCCTGCACCTGTGTTGCTCTCTCCATCAATCGCCGTTGCCGCCGAGTCCAAGGAGGAGAAATCGCCGCCGAGTCCAGCAAGGGGAGGGGAAATCGCCGCCGCTTTGTGCTTTGAGGTGAGAGAGAGAAGAAGAAAGAGAGAGAGAGAAGAAGAAGAAGAAGAAGAAGAAGAAGAAGAAGAAGAAGAAGAAAGAATTCTTCTGCGTAATAGAAATGGTGAATGGAGAGATACTCTAAGTGGGAGAGAGAGGATAAGTGGGGGAGAGAATGAGGGTTTCTGAAACTTCGGTGGGGGGATCAAAACCGATCCGAACCGAGATATATTTTGGTTTGACCCATGCACTACTTCGGGGAGTCGGTAATCATGTGTTTGGTTCGGTTTGAACCGAACCGACCGAATGCCCACCCCTAGAATAGAGGAACAAAAAACCCCACCCAATACCAACCTGGTATGGGGGTGGTATCTTGTGGTACACAATGTTGAAAGTCGTAAATGACAGTTAGTATACTCCTATACTATCATGTATTCAATCATCCTACAGTTGTATGTTCATTCCACCATGGTACGCTTTCATATCATATGGTATGCTCTTATTTAATACCAATCAATACCATCATAGTATAGAGTGATAATAAATGCCTTAATTTTTTGTTCCAAAAATATATAAAAGGGGATATCATTTTGAAGAGCACAATTAATCTAATTTATCTGTGAAAAAAATTAAATTTCTACTTAAAACGAGAGAGAAATCGTGCTTAAAAATTAAAGGGATCCATATGTGGCATGGCAGGGGATGCGGATGTGGCGGCTGGTGGTTGAGTTATGCATGGTTATTTGACCAGTAGGTTACTGACCAATCCGGTCCCAAAAAAGATGATAATAGTAGTTTCCTGATTTCATTTTTCTGTTTGCAGGCAAGCCTGTTGGTCCGGCTTGCCCCGATTTTACCGAACCCAAGTTGGTCAAAGAAAAAAGTATGGTTGTCACGCCGGTAAATTGCCAACCGGTTGAATCTGGTTTAATTGACATCAATCATGAAATCAGTGTGAATATTGCGGGTATGACCAACATAATCAATTTTTGGTCTATAAACAAAATGTTGTAATTCACGTACAAAAACTGATATTATTTGTTGGATTCAAGTACAAAAGTTTGGATTTTGGCATTAAATATTGTATTTAAATATGAGTATTTGTTATTTTATTTGAAATATTGTATTTATTAAATATGTTATATGAGCTAAAACAAACTGATACAAATGAATTGTATCACCGGTCAAACCATAACATTTTCTAAACTGACCATAAACCGGTTTGACAACGTTGGACGAAAGCGGATCAGGGCAAGACGATCAAAAAGCTCATCCACCAACGGCAAACTGAATGAACCTCAGCGGGTTAGCCATCATCGGCAGTCCTTCAACCAACTCCCTAGTTCCAATTGTTTGTCGCCATGGGGACGGCGACGGCGACTCTCCATCTTTCTCGCGTACGCATTGGGCGCCCTCATCCCCCTTTCTTGTCTTCTCTAATCCATTCTCCTGCTGCTGTTCTCCTTCCTAGTTCTCCCTCTTTCTCCCGCAAATACCCTCGCCTCTGCTTCCGCCTTGGCCACACCGCCAGCAGCTTCTTCCGCCGCTTCTCCGTTTCTGCTTCTTCCTCTTCTTCTCCTGGTATGCCAGTTCAAAACTCTGTCTCTCTTCTCTCTGCAAGTTTCACTACTTCCCGCCTGTCTTTGGCCTTGCCGGGTGGATTGAGTCATTTGCTGCTGTGTACTGTCAATTTAGTTTATAAGATAACGGATTTTGTCATTTGGTTTCTGTTTATATGCCATCTTTGTCTATGAAGATTGTGCTTTTCCGAATGCTGATTGGATGTGGTAACCGGAGGCAGCTGATAAATTGTCAAACAAGAAATTGAGAACGGAAAAATCGAGTTCAGTGGATCAGTCACTTGGGGCGTGTGACTGCTGTTGGTGTAATGATGGAATATTTACTTGATTGAGGATTGCGAACAGCTTGTGTGACTTTTGAGGTTCAACATTTTGCAGGGTCGAGTAACTTCGCAGGAGATAATGGCGAAACATATGATGTAATTGTGGTTGGAGGAGGACATGCAGGCTGTGAGGCAGCTCTTGCTTCTGCTAGACTAGGGGCTAGAACCCTCCTGCTCACTTTAAACTTAGATCGGATAGCATGGCAGGTAACCACTTACATAGAGATCTTCTGATACTGAACTATTTGGGAAATACTTTTGGACAAAATGTTCTTATCATGAAGGGTTTTCTGCAGCCTTGCAATCCAGCAGTGGGTGGACCTGCGAAGTCACAGCTGGTTCACGAAGTGGATGCACTTGGCGGTGAAATCGGTAAAATTGCTGATAGGTAATATTGCCAATTGAACTTAATATTTGTCTTGACCTGAAGGAATTGTGGCTCCCTTCCTCTTTCAGTTTTTGTGACTTCAAAATGGGAACTTGAGGTGTTGATAACTGTGGGCTAGGTTACATGTTGCGAATCAAATCTGTCGAGCCAAATTACCTATTTGTAGCCTGTGTGCATATATTCCTCTTTAGTTCTTTGAAACCAATAAAGTATACTTGTTCAAGTTATTTGATAGCATAATTCTCCAGACTTCTAGGTTCTGTTTTTCTTTGCAATTGTTGACACGTTCTTATTGGTTTTGGTAGCTTATCGACTTTTGTTTATATGCCTGTAATTCTTTTGAGTTCTTCAGGTGCTATTTACAGAAGCGCATACTCAATCTTTCGAGGGGTCCTGCTGTTCGTGCTTTGCGTGCACAAACTGACAAAAGAGAGTATGCTATGCTAATGAAGCAAATAGTGGAAAGGCAAGTGAAAATATTTGTCTTCCTTGGTTAATGTTCACTCCCCTATTCAAGTTTTTTCAGAGGGTAGCTTGAGGTTGGGGACGATAAAGGATGTCATGTAATAAAATAGTTTTTGTCAAGTCACAAAATAAATGTGCAATATATTAGATTTTATGGACAAAAAATAAAAGGCTACGGGTAACTCTCCGTTTGTAGTATGACTAGAAAGAGATGCTAAATTTTTTTATACCTTAATTCTGCTGCATTGTATATCAGTGCTCCATGTACTTTTTAAGTTGTTTTATAGGATAGTCTAATTGGAACTCTTGTTATCATATGCCAGCCGTATCTTGGTATCAAATTATGATTATCAGCATATATGTTTTTGCAACTTGCCCATATATTCTTTTCTTCCTTTTCTGGCTTGATGATCTGTGTGTTCCCAACGAATGTTAGGCTTTCTTCTTATTGCCTGTCATTCAAAACTATACAAAATTCGGAATTGATAGTAGCATCTGGAACTACTTAAATGCCCATCTGGAACTACTCTCACCCAGTTTTAGAATGGTTTATGTTTGTCTTCTAAGAACATTACATTGTTCTGTTTCAGGACTCCAAACCTTTCCATTAGGGAGGCAATGGTAACAGATATCTTATTGGGAAAGAATGACAATGTGGAAGGTGTCCGCACCTTTTTCGGGATGAATTTCTATGCTGCTTCAGTTGTTCTTACAACTGGAACTTTCATGAGTGGGAAAATCTGGGTTGGCAGAACATCTATGCCTGCTGGAAGAGCTGGTGAGTCAGCTTCAGAAGGACTCACTGAGACCTTACAACGCCTTGGATTTGAAACGGAACGTTTGAAAACTGGAACCCCAGCACGAGTAGACATACGGACCATTGACTTTTCTGGATTGGAACCTCAGCGTGGTGATGAGGAGGTACTTTGGTTTGATCATGAAGCCCATCTAGTCAATTTGACACTGCAAACTGCTATTTCTAATAGGCAACTTGAAGTTTTCTTATACCAATTTTACAACTTGGGGTTGATATCTCCCACTAGCTGAATTTGCAAACCATGCTTGCTGAATATTAACAGTTGATGGTGGAAAGTTCAGGGGAACCTGTCAACTATGTTGCGAAATGAGATTCATAGGGCGGTAGGAAGTCGAATTTTAAAATAATTGATAAAGTGGTCCTAGTAGAGCCACTAGTTTCTGTGCTTCTGCTTGGTTTGGTTTAACAATATGTGTCTCATTCTGAGATGGCGATTAACAGTCAATGAATCTTAGCTGGTTATTGTCATCTTTGCTATGCTTTTATGTGCTTGATGAAATAGAATGATACTAGAGATCTTGTATTTCATAGTTATCTTTTGATTGACAGGTCAGCTGGTTCAGTTTTGATCCTGAAGTGCATGTTGAGAGGGAACAGATGTGTTGCTATCTAACACGTACAACAAAATTCACCCATCAACTTATTAAAGATAACTTGCATGAAACTCCGACTTATGGAGGGTGGGTTGAAGCAAAGGGGCCTAGATATTGTCCTTCTATTGAAGATAAGGTGTGTACCATTCCCAGAGTTCTATTCCTCTTTGCTTCCTTTGTCATTCTATATTTGAAAGTTCCTTCTACTACGAACTTCACCCGTCTCTCTTGCAGATCGTGAGGTTTCAAGACAAAGAGTCCCATCAGATTTTCCTTGAACCAGAGGGTCGAGATGTGCCTGAGTTGTACGTACAGGTTCATGATTAGCTCCTTTGTTCTTTTTTCCCCCCGCTCTTATGTTGATGAAAGGTGACGATCTTGTCATTTTTTGCGGAAACAGTAATTTGGCATTTAGAAAATGGAGTTGCATCCTTATATGAATTTGCTAGTTGTTTTTATATTAGGTTTCGAGGTAATATATCCATGAAGTTGTATACCATTTGTGTTCTACAAAATGATCTTAAGTTCTTATCTTTCTAAAGGACTTCTCCCAGCCTTCATTAATTTTTTTGGGGTCTCTCTCTACTGCCATTTCCCCATAAATCTCTCATACAAGTAATACGAATAAAATCCTTAGGTTTACGTATTTTGTTGCTTTTTCTAGTAAAATGTTTGCTGAATATATTCATAGGAAACTACAAATGGATGTTGATTATGTCCAAGTGTATGTAACTCCCTGAAACGAGTGCTGAAGTTGATTATTGAGAACTGTAACTTGGAACCATCTTACAGATTTAGATGGTATTCGGTGAATGGGGTTTCCCTTCACAATGTTTAATTTTAAATTATATTTGAAAATTTAAGCTAAAAGCTTCGTGAATATATGAAAAAACTGGAACTTCTTTAAATTATGATTAATTAGCTCAATCCGAAGGAGACTTCCCTTGTTAGTCCAAGATAGTATGAAAACTCATTAGATTATTTAAAGCTTAATGAAGTTTGTATTTATCCTAAACACGTGCTTCGTCCATTTGGTGCCTCACAGGGTTTCTCTACTGGTTTACCAGAGAGACTTCAGTTACCTCTCTTGAGAACTTTGCCTGGACTTGAAAACTGTTCAATGTTAAGGCCTGCTTATGCTGTTGAGTATGACTATCTACCAGCGCATCAATGCACAAGGTCTCTCATGACAAAGAAGGTGGAAGGACTTTTCTTCTCTGGTCAGATAAATGGAACAACTGGCTATGAAGAGGCTGCAGCACAGGTTATCTTTCTTATCTGAAAATGTGATATGAACAATGTCACATAGTTTTACTTATTCTATACAATTTTCTTTCTAAGTTAATGAAGTCCATCACTTCAGTACTTATCTATCTAATCATGTTCCATCTGTTTTACTATGTTATCTCTTCTTTCTCACCATCGAAGGGGATGATTTCTGGCATAAATGCTGCAAGACATTCAAACGGAAAACCCATCATTGTTCTGGAGAGAGAAAGCAGTTATATTGGTACATTGATTGATGATCTGGTCACTAAGGATCTTCGAGAGCCTTACCGCATGCTGACGAGGTAACTGGGTTTGTGCTTTATATACTTTACAAGCAGCAGTATCTCTATGGTTTGTTAAGCAGAAGCTACGGTTGGAACTTGTAATTTTGGCTATAATCTACTGAAAATTTCGGCCTTAGACACTTAAGCAACTGTCAAGTGTTCGATCCAAGATTGCTAGAAAGTACTCTGTTCTATATATGTGGGCCTTATTCTTAAATGGAAAATAATTTTCTTATCAATTTTTCGTACGTAAACTATTTATTTATATGGTCCTTTGGCATTGTTCCTTCTCAGTCGCTCGGAGCACCGGTTACTTCTACGATCTGATAATGCTGATAGTCGTCTCACTCCTTTGGGGCGTGAAATTGGGTTGATAGATGACAGAAGATGGAAACTCTACCAGGAGAAACAAGCTCGAATACAAGAGGAAAAGGAACGTCTAAAAACTGTCAGAGTATCAGGTTTGGGTTTTTACTCGAACAGCTTGCAATTAGACTTCGGCTTTTTACCGTGGTATTGAATTTTAGATGTACGTTTTACATATCCAACACTAAAGCTTTTTGAATGTCCATATGAAGAGTGGATTTGAGTTGTGGGGATAGACCATAATGGCTGCTTGGTATCTAATAACTTTGTCAATTTCAGGAGGAGATTTGGCTGCTGATGTTACTCGTCTTTCTAGGCAGCCAGTGAAGGATTATTCCACACTGGAGAGTCTTCTGAAGAAGCCACATATCCAATACGAAGTACTTGATAAACATGGCTTTGGGAATACAGTCTTATCCAGAGAGGAGAAAGACTGTGTAGAGATCGATGTGAAGTATGAGGGTTTCATCATACGTCAACAAATTCAGCTGCAGCAGGTTCTTGAACTTGGAACTTGAAGCATCTTCTTGACTCACTTTCTATTTGTCCTTATATATATATATCCTGTTTCCTGTAAATCGTAGATGGCACATAAACAAAATAAACCAATACCTGAGAACATAGATTACTATGCAATGACGACGTTGTCACTCGAGTCACGTGAAAAGCTCTCCAAGGTTTGTAATCGATTTTGTTCACCTTGGCATATTCATTCAGTCCGGTGCAATCATGATTCACGTTCAGTAATTTTGTGCCTTCTTTTATTTTATATCATGTGACAGGTAAGACCACAGACAATTGGTCAAGCAAGCAGAGTTGGAGGGGTAAGCCCTGCAGACATAACTGCACTGCTCATCATCCTTGAATCCAACAGGCGGAAAGCACAAGATCGGAAGAGGAGTGAGATGCTTTCTTCTGTTCTTACAGATGCTAATTCGGAGCGCCCCCATGTCCCCTCGACTGAGCCAATCAGTTTATAATAATATATTGAAGGATCATTCAACCATGCCTCGGCTACGAGGACCGGAACACTATCAAGTAGCATTCAACCATTTTGCAGAAAATTGCTTTGCTGCTAGTGACGTTGAATCCTCCAAAGGGGATGATCCTTTTGGTTTGGGGTGCGTACGTCAAGAGGAGGCCGTTGTTCTTTGCCTGGGGACATGTTGTGGCTACAAGGAGCTAGAAAGCGGTGCAAAAATGGATGTGTACTCCTGTATTAGTCTTATCGTAGTTCTGTTCCTGAATTTATGAGTTTGTAAAATTTCAGTAGAAAATGTTGACAAGTAGCAGAAATTAAGATACATTGGAGTTTGTTCATATTTTGTTTAAAAATTATTATAGTCTTATCGTAGTTCTGTGTCCTGAATTTATGAGTTCGTAAAATTTCAGTAGAAAATGTTGACAAGTAGCAGAAATTAAGATATTAAAAATGTAAAATAGTATGTGCTTTCATTGAGAGTTGAACTCAAGACCTCCCGCTTACTAAACGGGTGCTCTAACCAACTGAGCTATGAAAGCTGATTGGTTGATATTGTTTTAACATTTATTTAGTTTTCTCTGTAAAAGCTATTGAATGATTGGAAAACGTAGTAAGGGGCAAGGTGAGAGGTGGCTTTTCCATTTCATCGATGGAACTGTGGTGGATGGGAAACATCAAAGTAGCAGTAGCTTAGTGACCGCAGGTGCCGATAGAAAGTCTGGAAAACGTAAGCCAAGGCGATCCCTGTCCTAACCCCTGGTAACAAGTTCCCCATCCATTTTCCAATGTTTTGTTAGGTAGCAGAAATTATTTTCTATCAATTAAAAAACCTGACTGTTTGTCTTTGAAAAATTGCTCACTTTTCTGCTTTACTTCTCCAAAATTCTACCCAGAAGATCATCTGTCCTAGTATAGTCAAGGAAATGCCACAAATTCAAGAACGTGCGTTGACACACATGGGCGGCCACTGCAGACTGCAGTCAATGGGTTCGCGGCCACTGCAGACTGCAGTCAATGGGTTCGAGTATGGACTTTATAATCTTTGAGATAGCACAACGTATAGCCCGCCCCTGCGGATTCATAGAGTTCAAATGGGACATTCCTGCACTGCAATTATCATGGATGCAGGCAAGTTCCTTCTCTATTCTCTCCTTCTATTTCTACAGGCCCAACTTTGTAGTCCGGATGATAGCATAGCCATGAACCAGACCATCAGAGATGGAGAATTTCTCGTTTCTAAAGGTGCTAACTTTGCTTTGGGGTTTTTCAGTCCCGGCAGATCTAGTTACAGATATGTTGGGATATGGCATCATAGAGTGCGAGAAAGAACTGTGGTATGGGTAGCCAATAGGAATGAGCCACTCAAGGACTCATCGGGAGAGTTGTCACTTAATCAATTTGGCGACCTGGTCATATTTGGCCATTCTTACCAGAACATTCCAGCATGGTCGACGAATGTTTCTGCTGAGGTAATGGATTTTCGCTTTGCTAAGCTCTTGGATTCTGGAAACTTGGTTCTGATTCAAGGTCAATCTAATAGAGTTGTGTGGCAAAGTTTTGATCATCCCACCAATACCCTTCTCAGTGGAATGAAACTTGGAATGAACCGTGATAAGGGTCTCAACTGGTTCCTGTCATCATGGGCATCAGCAGATAATCCTGGTACAGGTGATTACTCGCTTCAGCTCAACCCAAATGGCTCACCTCAGTTCTTTTTGTACAAGGGTAAAACCCACTACCTTCGTACTTCTCCATGGCCTTGGAAAAAATACCCTGATGTATACAATTACACCTTTGCTAGAATGGAAGATGAGATATACTTTCATTTCTCCATTGACGATCCCTCCGTTATGGTCAGATTTGTGTTGGATGACTCTGGAATGTTCAAACGATTCTCTTGGCATGTAAGTGAGGGCAGATGGAAAGAGTTCTGGTCAGTGCCAAAGCACAGGTGTGACTTCTATGGACAATGTGGTGCCTATGGTGTATGCGACCCTCTCAACGTTAATGCGTTTGAATGCCACTGTTTGCCAGCGTATGAGCCCAAGTCTCCTAGGGACTGGTCTTTGAGGGATGGATCAGGTGGTTGCATTACAAAACGCAGATCGTCCTCTTTGTGTGGGGTCGGAGATGGTTTTGTGAAAGTTGAACATGTTAAACTTCCTGATACTTCTGCAGCTATTTGGGTTCACACAAGTTCAAGCAAGGTGGACTGTGAACGGAAGTGCCTGAAGAATTGTTCTTGCACCGCATATGCTAGCATAAAGAACGGTGGGGAAGCAAGTAGCTGCCTGCATTGGAATGGGGAATTAGTGGACACAACAAACCGTGAAAGTTTTGATGGCCATGATCTCTATGTCCGTGTTGATGCATTTGAATTAGGTACTTCGACTGGGTCATGCTGAAAAGCCCAGTTTACCTGTACATGCTTTCTTGTTTATTGTGTTCTGCTTATTATCTAGTTTCTATGATGTTTTTGATGCCCTGTTTCCTAACCCATGCAGCTGAGAATTTGATGAGATCTCGCAGCTTCTTTAGGAGGAAACGGATGCAGCTGATGCTAGTAACTTCTGTTTCTTTCACATGGTCTGTCATTCTTGTAGTGCTCCTATGGCTCAGAAAGCGAAAAAGAAAAGGTAAGAAACAAGTTCAGGTCCTCGTGGTACTAAGTTCCTACTGCTTTACACTCTGGAATGAGCAATTAAGTTCGTCTTTTTGAAAGACAGGTAGGGGGCAAGGGCTCAACATATTATTTGACAGTGAAGGGAGCAGGTACAGTGATAATGGGGCGAACATGTATGTTGGAAGCAGTGATCTCACTATTTTCAGCCTCACTGCTATAAGTGCAGCCACTGCTGACTTCTCTCCAGCTAAAACACTTGGACAAGGTGGTTTTGGCTCAGTTTTTAAGGTAGAGTTGTTCCCTTCTTTTCATTTGAGTTCTTTGGTTCTGGATGAACAAGAACTTATTGCATAACAACATCTACTTCCAGGGTCAGCTACCTCATGGACAGCAGATTGCTGTCAAAAGACTTTGCAAAAATTCAGGTCAAGGGATTGAAGAATTCAAAAACGAGGTCAGAATTATAGCAAAGCTCCAGCACAGGAATCTAGTGAAACTACTTGGCTGCTGCACAGAACGAGATGAACAAATACTAGTATATGAGTATATGCCTAACAAAAGTTTAGATTCTTTTCTCTTTGGTAAGTCCGGAAGCATGCACCTTGCCGTCCTTAAAACTTTCTCTTCTCAAACTAATTTGAGAGAACAAATGCAGATGAAAGGACAAAACAGTCTCTGGATTGGAGAAAACGAGTGGAAATAGTTTTGGGGGTTGCCCGTGGAATCCTCTATCTGCACCGAGACTCGAGGTTTCGAATAATCCACAGGGATTTGAAAGCAAGCAACATTCTTTTGGATGAACAGATGAATCCAAAAATTTCAGATTTCGGACTAGCCAAAATGTACAAAGGCGAAGACATTCCAGAGAAAACAGCTAGAGTTGTTGGTACATAGTAAGTGCATTCTCTCATCACTCAAGCAACCCACTCCCCAGCATTTTATATATGAATTTATTTGACAGTTTTTGTGTCACAGCGGCTATATGTCACCAGAATATGCAGTCTTTGGAAAATTCTCCACTAAGTCTGATGTCTTTAGCTTCGGGGTAATTTTTTTGGAGACTATTAGTGGGAGGAAGATTAGTGCCTTCTGCAGGGAGGATCCATCCCTGAACTTGATAGGACATGTAAGTGAATGTACTAATAAATACACATTTTCATATTCTGCAAACTACTCTTGCTGTGCTGTTGATGTTATGAATCATGCAGGTATGGGAGTTATGGAGAGAAAACAGAGCATTAGAGATAATTGATTCGTCAATTATGGAGTCATGTGTTCCAAGTGAAGCCTTGAGGTGCATTCAGATAGCACTGTTGTGTGTGCAAGAAGATCCAAAGGACCGGCCAGATATGTTAGCAGTTATTCGGTGGTTGAACGGTGAAGCTTCTCTTCCTTCCCCTGACCAGCCCGCCTTTGTTCTGAGAAAATATTGCAAGGATCAACAGTTTTCACTGAAGGGAGAAATCATCCCCGAGGATACCTTTTCTCTCCCTTTTGTAACCTGTTGATTTGCAGAATCCATGCTCACCAGCCTCGAAGTTTTTCCTCAAAGAGAAGAGGGTACTTCTCATATGAACCTTGCATGCATACTTTAGCTTCTTATTGATGTCAATGGATTAACAATTATGCTGCTATCAGAAGGTTGCTGCAATATAATTGTGAAATTCTCCAATTAGATCAGATGTATAGTGCCAGTTCCTAAATCATTGATTTTGAAGCATTATTTATTGTGAAGATATGTCATCGTCGACTTCCCGACTCTTCCCAGCAAAGGGGACATGACAAAATGATGCCATCCATCCTTGACTGAGGACCCCCCATTACTGTCTGCCGGAAAAAGTTGAAATCAACTAATGAGATATGTGTGGTTCCGTGCCTCTGGGCTCTGAGCATATCCCATCTCTCAAATAATGATAGAAACATAGTTTCTATCGGATTTGCGGATTGGATCGACATTTGGGATTTTAGGGATTGGAGAAGAGAATTGAGGATTTAGGGATTAGAAGATAGAGATAGGGATTGAGATTGGGAATTAGAGGAGGAAGAAGGATAGAAGATAGAATCGGCCGAAGCTTTAGAGGGCTAGAGAACAAGAAATTAGGAGATAGAGGATTAGGGCTTTGAGAGAGATACTTTCTGAATAATTGTTCTTGCTTGATTATAACGGAATACCCAAGTACATATATATAGGGAAAGATAGGAAAACCTAATAATAACCCTAGTACAACTAAAAGGCTACCAACCCTAATAGTAATTATCTTACCATAATTAATAATTAAACCCCTAGGAAATAGGTTTCTATCATCCCCTCCCCCTTGAGACCAACCTTGCCCTCAAGGTTGATCAACTCGAACCACTCTTTCCTTTCTTTTTGCACAATCCGCGGTCGACTCCTCCATTTCATACGCTTCCTTTTCTTCCAATTGTGCTCCACTGCTCGAATGAAGCCCACTCCAGTGACCCCGACTCTCCCCAACTTTTCTCGAGCCACGTGACATAGGTCACAGTCTCCATAGCCGAACAATTCTTCCTCTTCGTTCTCAAAATCCACGAAGTAAGAATCGGAGAAATGTTCTTCTTCATGCTCCATAAACTCCTTCATTGACTTGGATGTGAAAATAATACAATCTTCTCCTCCTTTATCTTGGACTTCACCCACTATTGGTTGCAATAAAAAGCTAGAGCCCAAACCAATATTAAGCCCTTTTATCTTCTTTTCAACTTCATTTGGGCTTGGGTCGTTTGAAAGCCCACTTACCAACCCAAGAACTCCATCTAAGCCTGTTTCCCTCAACACATAGCCCAAGTGTGGCTCATTTCCTACCTCCAAATGCGGCCCAAGTCTGTATTCAAATATCTTCTCTTGACAAACCAGCCAATGCCCATAACTTAAATAGCCTTTGTCCATTGGGGGATCCACCTGACCTGGTCCATCTCGCCTTGCCAAGCCCACCATGTCATTTCCCATTGCCAGCCCGTGACCCAAACAATGCACTCCTCCCAGCCCATTAAAACTATTGGCCCGAATTAGTTTGCTCAGCTGATATGATCTGCTCAACTCGAGCCCAGCGAAATCCACCCCACCAAAAACGAGCCCGATACTTAGCTCTAGCCCTTGTGAGGCCCGTCTCAGTCCAAAATGTGGCCCGCCTTGTTGAACCAATCCGGCCAACTCGAGCCAGACTCGGCCCAATGGTTCAGGCCGCTTGGTGGCGCGACCTAGGGTTGCGGGAGATGGGAAGCTGCCGCCACCCACCTTCTCCTTGCTCGCCGCCAGCTCCTTCTCCTCCTCTTCCTTCCCCGACGACAAGCAAACCCTCCGACGGCACGACGGCAGGTGTGAATCCATTGTCGTCGTCAACTCAGTCTTTTCCTCCGACGCCCCTAGTGGATCCACCAACGTCTGCAGAGCTTCTCGCGCGACGATTGGCGATGGTGAAGAAACCCGACGACTTTGCTCCGTCCTTTCTTTCTCCGGCGTCGAGCAGTTCGCCAGGTGTAGTGAAGTAGATCCTGAGGCCCAGCTGTTGATCCTTGATTCTTTCTTCTCGCCCGCCGTCATCTTCTTCCTCGTTTTCTCCTCCGGCATCGCTTGCTCCTCTGGCGTCACCTTCCGAGCCTCTATCCCCGGCAGCAAGCACGCCACCAGGCGGCGCTGCTGCCAAATTGCCTTTGGCTTCCTCTCCCTCTCCAGCATCGCGTGAGAGAGCTCCCAGAGCGTGCCTCCTGCCGGCCGAAGTACAGGTGAATCCAGCGCCAGAACACGGCCCCACGCCATCCTCCTGACGTCGAGCCCTCGGCCGTCGCCGGTCATCCGCGTCGCCGATTCCTTATTCACCTCGAGCTCCGACGACGATTCCTTCACCCGGCGGCTAGGAGACTCGCTAGCTTCTGGCTTCTTCGGCTCAACGAACACAACGGGAGCCGCCATCGACTGCACGATCGGAGCCCTAGTCGCTTGCTCCCTCTTCCATTCTGATGTTGATGGTCGCGCCCTCACTGCGATGCGCGTTGCCACAGCTCGGCTCGAGGCTCTCGCTGACGGTGGGGGATTAGCCGACTGTTTCTTTCTGAATTTCCACGTCAAGTTTCTCTCCTTATCCGCGACTCCTCTGTTTGTCATAGTCACACGCAGAGAACCATCTGTCGTGGGTTGTACCTTGTCGTGAATATCCGTCTTCACTGCTCTGGAATCGGATTTGCTGACGACTTTGGCAGTAGGTGGTGACCGTGGTGGTCGACTCGCCATCACCTTCCTCCGCGATGTGACGGTTTCACGCTCCATGAAAGCTTTGACTTGCAAGCTATCACGTATAGCTTGAAGCTTTGCCTCCAACTGTTGTTGATACGCCTTCTGTCTAACATTGAAGGCTTCAATCCTCTGCTGCATCTTGTTGAAAATGTGATGGAACTCGTCCCCGGTTGAGAGTTGTGATGAACTCAGACTCGCAACCGGAGCTCTGATACCAAATGATAGAAACATAGTTTCTATCGGATTTGCGGATTGGATCGACATTTGGGATTTTAGGGATTGGAGAAGAGAATTGGGGATTTAGGGATTAGAAGATAGAGATAGGGATTGAGATTGGGAATTAGAGGAGGAAGAAGAATAGAAGATAGAATCGGCCGAAGCTTTAGAGGGCTAGAGAACAAGAAATTAGGAGATAGAGGATTAGGACTTTGAGAGAGATACTTTCTGAATAATTGTTCTTGCTTGATTATAACGGAATACCCAAGTACATATATATAGGGAAAGATAGGAAAACCTAATAATAACCCTAGTACAACTAAAAGACTACCAACCCTAATAGTAATTATCTTACCATAATTAATAATTAAACCCCTAGGAAATAGGGGTGGGCATTCGGTCGGTTCGGTTCAAACCGAACCGAAATTATGCATACCGGATCCCCGAATTCTATCAAACCTCAAACCGAATTCGAACCGAATTATAATTCGGTTCGGTCGGTTCAAACCGAATTATAATTCGGTTCGGTTCGGTTTTTCATACAAAACCGAAATAGTGAGGTTAGCTTGTATTTTCTCTTTTTTAAATTATTTTTCACCCTAATGTAAACAATAAATATGTATCATCAATGATAAAATCAAACATTTCAACACATAAGTCATAAAACACTAACATGATTCAAATATTTAAGTATCATAATAAGTAGAAACATAAAAATCCACCATTTAGAACTTGAAATTATAATAATTCGGTTTTTCGGTTCGGAATTCGGAAATTCGGTTCGGTCGAAAGAACCCAGGTTTCCGAAATATGTCATTTTCTCTTCCGAATTCCGAACCGAATAACATTAATTCGGTTTCGGTTCGGTTTATATTCGGTTCGGTTCGGTTAGGTTCGGTTTTACCGAACCGTATGCCCACCCCTACTAGGAAATAGGTTTCTATCAAATAACTACAGGAATTGACGGCTAACGGAGACAGCAAAACACCACTCCTCTACAAAATTTAAAGACCGTCACTGTTAGTTGTCACTTGTAAGTGCTGAAGGCTGGTGCCCAATTTTGGATATGAACTCAATAAATTGTTCAACTGAATCTGTTATGAGGTGAATGCATGGCGGCCATTAAATGAGAGGTAATTTTTGTTGTTACAACTCGGTTTTGTTTCTTTCCATTCTGAGCACATATTTTTTGACGGTCATTACGTCGTCTTCTCATTTATTCTGGTCACTCCTTTCATTTTCATGTGACTTTTCTTTTCCCGAGAATACGGCTAACTACGAGAACTCCAATGATTTTCTTTTTCACAGTCCACAACAATTGGTGGGTTTTAAGTTCAACCGCTGACCTTATGTAAATGTTTTGCAGAGTTTCGAGTATCCTGCAAAATCATGACGGGGTTCACGGTGATCCATAGATGCGTTCTGCTTTCCACGTTTCTAACCTTACAATTACTTCTTTGTATCACTGCTACAGACACTCTGGAAGCTAACCAAATAATCGAAGATGGTAGCCTTCTCATCTCCAAAGGTGGTAAATTTGCCTTGGGATTTTTCCATCCAGGTCATTCTAGCAGCAGCAACAGATCATATCTTGGAATCTGGTACCATAAAGTAACACCACAAACCGTGGTGTGGGTAGCAAACAGGAACAGTCCCGTCAACAGAACTTCTGGAGTTCTCGCTCTTGATGGCCATGGCTGCCTTGTTCTCTACAGTAGCCATGACCAAAGAAGGGTCCCCTTGTGGTCTGCTAATGCAACCTCTTCTGTGGATACCTATGTGGCTCAGCTGTTGGATTCAGGGAATCTGGTCTTGCTCCAAGGTTTGCCAGAACAACGCAGAATGGTGTGGCAAAGCTTTGATTATCCCACAGATACCGCACTCCCGGGAATGAGAATTGGTTTGAATCTGAGAACCGGTTTTGATCGGAACTTGACATCATGGAGATCACCCGATGACCCGGGAATTGGCAACTACTCTTTCCAGGTCCACCCAAACGGCTCCCCACAGTTCTTCCTTTACCAGAAGCCAAATGGGAACCACTATTGGCGCAGCGGGTCATGGCCGTGGGCGCACTTCCCTGATCTATACAACTACACTTTTGTCAACGGAGAAGATGAAGTTTACTTCTCTTTCACGGTTGGCGATGAAAATCTTCTGTTAAGAATAGTGGTTGATGATACAGGAACCATGAAGCGATTGAGGTGGCATGAGAATGACGAGAGATGGAAGGAGTACTGGTCGGCGCCCAAGTCCAGATGTGATTACTATGGACAGTGTGGTGTTAACAGCTTATGTGATCCGAATAATGTCAATAGCTTTGAGTGCACTTGTTTACCTGGTTATGAACCGAGGTCGCCAGGTAGCTGGCGCCTTAGGGATGGATCAGCAGGATGTGTCAGGAAGCGGTTAAAACCTTCCTCATTCTGTGAACGTGGAGAAGGGTTCTTGAGATTGGATAATATAAAGGTTCCCGACACTTCAGCTGCTGTTTGGGTTAGCAGGAGCATGACTCAAGCTGCCTGTGAAGAGGCCTGCAGAAGTAATTGTTCATGTTCTGCTTATTCAAGGAGGTATCTTGAAGGGAAGGAAAAGGGATGCTTGGCATGGTATGGGGAACTAAATGACACTGTTATATTTCTTGACAGTGGTGATGATCTATTCGTGAGAGTTGATTCACATGAATTGGGTAATTATAAGCTCATATGTTCAGCTTGAGAAGCTGGTCCTCTTTCAGTTTTTTTTTTCCTCTTTTCTTCCTTTGCACATCATTGCTTCATTGACATTACATTTCAATTTCCTTCTGGGTCACAGCTGAGAATCTGAGGAAATTATCTGGTGATGATGCTGTGGTGAAGGTTAAGCTGGCAATTGTTGTGCCATCTGTTGCTTCAGTTTTGTTTGCCATGTCGATATTTGTCTATTTCAGGCTTCGGAGCTGGAAACGGGAGAGAGGTAAGAATCAGGGGAGCCTTTTTATTGTTCACTGCTGTCGCAACATTTGAAAACGTTGCCTTTTCCTGTAATGTTAGTCCCCTACGGAAACTGAAATGCTTCTTCGTTCTTTTCAGTGAAGAGCAGATGGATCAAAAGAGTATTTGATTCTGCTGGCGGTTCGAATTCCTCTACGGGCAGTTTGGCTGCAACGGTACTTGGAGCAAACACCATTTATCCGGAGCTACCATTTTTTGATTTGCGTGAAATTATGACAGCCACTCAGAATTTCTCTCCGGCTAACAAAGTTGGTCAAGGTGGTTTTGGGGAAGTTTACAAGGTTAGCAAGAGTAGTAGTCAAATTACATTACTTTGTCAAATGCTGTTCTATTAAGATGACCAACCCTATGGGCGCTGTGATTGAATTTTCCAGGGTCAGCTAACAAATGGGGAAGAGGTGGCAGTAAAAAGACTATCTAGAAGTTCAGGTCAAGGAATTGAAGAGCTGAAGAACGAAGTGGTGTTGATTGCCAGGCTGCAACACAGGAATCTTGTGAAGCTTCTTGGGTGCTGCATTGAGGATGAAGAACAGTTGCTTGTTTATGAGTACTTGCCAAACAAAAGCTTGGACTCGTTCCTCTTTGGTACGTAAGTTCTATGCAAATTCTGCAAGAGCTCCTTTTGCTTTTAGTCTCTTCGTTATTTCATTACAACCATCTTTAGAAGAAGGAATACGTAACAACATTAGGCTACAAAAATTTTGGCAGATGAGAGGAGGAGCCCTTTACTAGAGTGGAGGATCAGATTCAACATCCTCGTGGGGATTGCTCGTGGGATATTGTACCTTCACCAGGACTCGAGGTTCAGAATAATACACCGGGATCTGAAAAGCAGCAATGTTCTCTTGGATGCAGAGATGAATCCAAAAATTTCAGACTTCGGCTTGGCTAAGATATTTGACAGCGATCACACCCAAAACAAGACAAGCAGAGTTGTTGGAACATAGTAAGTATTGGTGATTGATATCATCTTCTACGAAAAACGATGCATTTGTTTAGTTGCATGCTATTACAAATTTCATTTGTTGTAACCCAGTATGGAATTGTGAATCATAAGAAGGTTGGCTGAAGGCTGCTAGTTTATCTCAATTTAAGAATTTAACCATGTGAGTTTGCTCTCTGGTGCATGCAGTGGCTACATGTCTCCAGAATACGCAGTGTTCGGGAAGTTTTCAGTGAAATCCGATGTGTTCAGCTTCGGTGCCATACTACTGGAGGTGGTAAGCGGCAAGAGGATCAATTGCTTTCTCCACGAGGCAGCTCCACGGACATGGATCGGACATGTAAGTAGGAGTCAGGAAATGTTCAGCTAGCTATTCGTGTAATTCCATTCTCTGCCATCTCCCAAGGAAAACTATAATGTGATGAATGGACTTTTAGGTATGGAACTTATGGAGTGAGAAGAGGGTGTTGGAGATCATGGATCCTTCATTGAAGGAATGCTATGTTGCCGAGGAAGCTCTGCGGTGCATCCAGTTGGGGCTGTTGTGCGTTCAGGAAGATGCAATGGACAGACCAAACATGTCAGCAGTTGTTCTGATGCTGAACAGCGAGACACCGATTCCATCTCCGAAACAACCGGCTTTCGTTTTCAGGCGACCTGGGGCGGATGCCAATTCGGTGATGGCCGGTGGTGGTGATCCTTGTTCCATCAACGATCTGACTCTAACAGGGGTGGTGTCGCGGTAGAGAGAACTACAAGTCACTTGCAGTTGTGGGGAGACATAGAAGTAGAGTGTACATTGCTTCTGTTCTGTCTCATATTTCGTAGGAGAAAGAGAGTTGAGGCAATAGTTTCATACCATAAAAATGCGCAAATGCATAATTAATGCTTGTGCCCCGTAACCTGGGGTGGGCATTGGGTGAGTCGGGTGGATTTTGACCATAAAATACATCCATCCGCGCTTAAACGGATTGATAATTTTTAACCCACTACCCACCCACATATAGTCTCGGGTTGGGTCGGGCGGATGGTGGATGATTTGGGTGGGTTTGTGGGTTCACCCACATCACAATGTATATAATATAAAGAAGTCAACTTGACATGATAATAGGCGAATAGAGTTATTTGGGGAAACAAGAAGATGAAATAGAGTGAAAAATGTTGAATTAGTTCTTAAAATGGATAGAAAGTCCATTATGAAAGAGTTTTCTACAGATTGAGATGATTATCAGGTGCAAGGAACTAAGAAAAATAATTCCACAAAGGAAAGAGTTGTGATCTAGGCACAAGAATCAGAGGAAAAAATAAAGGGAAGAAGAGGGGATCGCTATTTGGAAGGTTGGCTTTGAGGTTCAAACTTCAAACTCCAAGAGCAGTCCTAGTTTATGTCTAACGTCTCCACTCTCCCCTCTCTAGCTACGAAGACTTTGATCTTTTTGCTGTTGGGTTGAGCGGGTCACCCGCACACCCACCCACAACCCACCGACCACCTGACGGATGGCTCCCAGCGCAACCCGTCACCCACCCATAGACCCACCCACTTAACGAAATTCGGGTCAAATGCGGGTGGGTCGGCCCAAACCCGCGGATGATCCCCGCATGCCCAGCCTTACGCGTAACCTAACCGATCAATACTTGGCATAAATGAAAACTCCTTACAAAATTTCTCCGAGAGTAAATGGTTCCTTATAATTTCCTACCAATATATATATATATATATTAGAAAGACAGACATCAATAACGTCTCAGACCGCATTAGAGTCTAGAGATCAAACGTTCTTGGGATAACCAATATTTCTTTGTGTTGTCAATGAAGATGAGATCACTCTGGAATGTGATTTAGTTGCCGTAGCCTGTGCCCTGTGGTGTGTACTGCTTGTATACGGCCAAGTTTTGTCTGGGAGGGTAGTGGATACAGGGTTTCTAATTTATTGGAATTGATTAGAGGGTTGGAGGGTCTTTGTATTTTCTCGGGATGAGATTAGATGCTAACCCCTATATAACGATATTGATCTTAGTAAAGGGTGCTTTAGATGTACGTGATTGGGGTTAGCATCATATTAATTAATCTAATAGCTTTAGATCAAAATAATAATCTTGGGTTAGAATTAATCAAAGAATAATTTATTAAATATCCCTCAAGCCCTAATATAATACTAACTTTTTTTTTATCACACCCTACCCTACACCCGCCTCTCATAATTTCTCTCTCACGTCTCTCTTCCACTCTTCCTCCTTTCCCTCTACCTCTTCTCTCTCTCACACGATTTCGGCAAGGTGAAGCGAAGAAGACGGTGGTCGATGGGGAAGATAGTAGACGCGGAGGAGAAACGAAAAACACGGCCCTTGCCAGGCGATTGCAGTCGACGGCGGAGGAGAAACGAAGAATAAGACGTTTGCGGAGGCAGTTGCAGTCGACGATGGAGGAGAATCGAAGAAGTCGATGATTGTAGAGGTGCTCGCTCGAAAGGAGAAGCCGAAGAAGCCCAGATTGTAAAGGCAGAGGTCGTAGAAGGAGATTTGGATCGCAGAGGTCGTGCTTGCTCGCCCTATTTTCTCTTCTTTTATTGGATATGGAAAACTTAGGGGTAGTTTGCTTCAAGGATTTGCATCTAGGGATGGCAATTTCGATCTGACCCGTTTTACCCGACCTGTTTGACCTGTTTTGGGAGGGTCTGACCCGCCCCGTAGGCGGGGCGGGGCGAGCATGAGTAGTCTTATCGACCCGACCTGCCCTGACCCGCCCCATTCTCGACCCATTCTTGTCTAAATTACATGTAATCTTAGTCAAATTACTTAGGATTTTCCTTTTATTGCATCATATTTTTAGCTATAAGAAAGTTGTAAATTAGTGAAAACCTCAATTTCTTCAATAATTTAACTACAATTATCATAATATTGTTTGTTTTCTTAGTCTTATAATTAAAATAACGAATATTGCTAATGTTTTTAATATAAATTGCATACCCATTGGGTCGACCTACTCCGACCCGCGACCCGTGATCAATTACCCGACCTGCCACGGGGCGGGTCTGGGTACCAAGAAACCCGCCCCGCACCTGCCCCATTGCCATTCCTATTTGCATCATGGATTTGGTACCAAAAAATCAATTATCATGGATTTACACACAATCCGTTGTTTGCTTTAAAAAAATGTTTAGATAAATCTGTGAGGCCCGCGAATTTGGGGGTTTTTTTTGCTCCAAATCCATGGGCCCCACAGTTTTATAAATCCCACCTCATACCCTGAGATTTGGAGACAAGCTGAAAACCCATCAAATCCATGATAAAAATAGCTCAACAAACAAAGGATTTTCTCAAATCCATAATGTCCAAAATCCCTAATAAATCCCAAGGTTTTTAATTAGCAAATCCATGACAAAAAACCTCGTTATAAAATTCTTGAAGCAAACGACCCCTTAAGAAACTGTTTAAGTTTGAGGTTGAAAGACATGATCCAATAATCAATGTTCTGTTAATTGTTAACAACCAATTATCTCTAATTAATTTTAATTGAACATTAAATGTTCTGACCTAAATCTATTAACGGCGTTAAATATTTTGATTAATTGAAATGTAAAGTGAGCTTATTGATTTTGTGTTGTATAGTAACAATTTCATTAACCAAACCGAACCAATTTAAAACTTCCACTCGAGGGTGAAGTGTCACATCTAGGGGCGGCCAACAATCCGATTCACACTAGACAGAGTCGGATCTAATCGATATTTGGACCGAATTGAATTGGATTGAGTATATTTCGATTTGATTTTGGTCCTATGAATTTTTTAAGTATGAAAAAATGGATCTAAAGTGAATTTGGACCAAAAATATCACGTACACCTTTCACGCTTATTGTACGAAAGGTTAATTTGGCCCAACAAGGGAAATGAATGATCAACTTTTAGCTTACTTATTTATATTGAACATATCATAATAGATTTTTTTTTTGTGTAAACCAGAGCGCTAAGGCCGCCTCGCCTTTATGTATTAAATAAACGAGGAGTTTGAACCCCAATGAAATCAACGGGTCGTTTGCTTCATGGATTTGAAAAATGAGGGTTTTGGTAAAACTTGGGTTTTGGAAAACCATGGATATATGATGGATTGTGTGGTATTATGGATTTGAACAAGTCTATTGTTTGCTTGATGGATTTGATTATGGACTTTGTTTGATTAGATTTGTGGATATTAAATACAAATTACCTTGTTATCCTTATTTAATTATATTTCTATATTATAATCCAAATCTTTCATTTAAAACTAATCCAAAACATAGAAAGAAATTTTAAACTCTTTACCACTATGTGGATTAATAATTCAACTACAAATATAGAAATGTATTACAATTTGGCACTAATTAACAATTCATCTAATAATGTACGCATTATTATGTATCAACTGCAACCAATTGCTCGCTTTATTGCTACAACTCATCATCTTCTTGCTAACACACCGATGTGGAATCCGACAGTCAATCAAATAATAATGCACAAGATGAGCATAAAGTGTTTTTAGGTGAATCTAACAAATCACATATACATTCATATTTAAATAAAATACGATATTACAAAACGAAATGATAAATTCTCATATTTATAAAATACGAAATTATAAAAGTTTATAGTTGCATGACCATTGAATTAAAGTAGGAAAACTTTATTAAAGAAATAATTAAGAGTAGAATGGTAATTTACCATCATGGATTTTAATCCATCACCCAAATCCCACCTCAAGAGGTGGAACTTCAAAGTCCGTGGGGTCCACGGATTTGGAACTCCAAAAGAGGTGGGCCCCACAAATTCCATCTTCCTAATTCCCTAAGGCAAACGATGGATTTCGGTTCAAGTCCATGATGGATATATTTCCATGACCAAATCCATCACCAAAACCCTCAAGCAAACGACCCGCAAAATTGAAAATACAGCCAATAATTCAACATCAGATCAGGCCTATTAAAAGTATTAGTTCCCAACGATAGACCATGGCCTAACTCCTAAGGATGCTAGCTAGTCAGCAACAATGTTCCCCTTGTTGAAAATATGACAAACTTCGATCTCCCATTCTAGCGCCAGTAGCTTTCGGGTTTCGGAAATCAGCAATGAGTGAGCGCGATGATCCCCTGCCGGCATGATGAGTTTCAGTGTCGTCTGTAAATATGTTTGGAACACTAATTTTCGTGTGCCAATCTCCCATGCAGTTTGGAGACCATGGACTATCCCCTCAAGTTCTGCCCTCGTAATCGATCCTTCCCCGAGGTTTGTTGCGAAAGCTCGGATCATGCGTCCATCATCTCTTCTAATAACTCCTCCCGCGACTGCGTTCCCCACCGCATAAGATCCATCCGTGTTCAAACACGTCTAGTCCTGTGGTGGAGGTGTTTCTCGCGAAACCAAATATCCACCGTTGGTGTCAAAATCGTTTCAGGCGTTGTTGATTTGATTGTTTCGCTGTGCAAACTTTTGCAGAAATGTCAAATATCCACCGCCAAGCGGTGTTGATTTGATCAATGCACTACTGACTTCTTATCTAAGACGACCGTCAAATATCCACCGCTGGGCGATGTTGATTTGATCCATGCACCTCATACTTCTAACCAAGAACGAATGTTACTCGGTTCACTCCTCTCCAAACAATGTTCGAATGAGAGTGTTTGAGTTTTTGGGGAATGTACGTTAAAACTACTCGTATGGAGATTCCTGTGGAGAGCTCTGTGACTATGCTACAACTATTGAGATCCTTCCTGGGCGAAAAGTTTCGCGAAGGAGTTACAGAGAAAAAGATAAATTGAAACATATGTGTTTATGTGTTGATTTCTGGCTATCCTTTCTCTCTCCTTGCTCCGCTGCTTTTATTCGAAAAGCATCTTCGTAGTCTTTATGCTTCGTGAAACCTCTTCCTCAACTGCTCCGTCCTGAACTCGCACGTTTCTCAACTGCCTTGATCTCCTCTTTGCTATGGTTGGCATGAATCTCCCGCGAAGAAACCACTTTCGCTGCAACGTTGTAAACTTCAACGACACTACACCTCCAATCTTCACTTCTATCCACGTGAGACACACGTGCACACTAAAGTACCTGAGCCGAGGATCAGTATTGCGTTTCAAACTGCGAGTTGTTGTTTCATGGCTGCAATTTTGTCATGATTTGAGCCACAAAATTATTAACATAATTGAAACCACGTCGTTGAGATCTCCAACTTGCAACGCCGCTGAACTCACGTCACTACTCACCATAGTAGTATTGTTTATCTCGCGG